AGCCCCCAGAGCCTCACTGCCCCAAGCAGCCCTCTCTACCTGTGGGGCCTAATCCAGGATCCATGGTAGAAGAGAGGCCAGGCCAGATGAGGCTCCTGGGGACAGGTGAGGAACACAGGTGCTGAGTGGTCAGCTGGCAGTTTAGATGTTTTTCTTCAAAGACCTGGGAGACCTTTTGTGTCACAACTGCCTGTTCTCAGTCCCTGCCAGACTGAGGAGCATGGAGGGCCCTGTGTCCTCATAGGGCTTCCTCAGCTCCCTTTCAGCAGCCAGGCCCTTCTGTGCCAGCCTGAATTGGCTGGGGGTTGCATCCTGGAGCTCCATCCTAGGTGTCCAGAGGTGCTGGGAAGGGAAGCAGGCTTGCATGGTGGCCCCACTCTGAATTGGTCTCCTTTTTTCAGTTGATTCTCTGGGGGAAGCACTGAAGGATGTGGTGGAGCACACCACTGAGGATGGAGAGCAAGGTACTGAGGGCTGGGGTTGGGGAGTGGGGCAAAGGAAAGGAGGGAAGGAGAGAAGGAAGGAAAGGAAGGAAAGATGAAAAGAAAGAGAGAAAGTGTGAAGGAGAGAAGGACAGAAGGAAGGGCTGGGGAATGTAGCTCAGGGGTAGAGAGCTTACCAAGCTTGCATGAGGTATGGGATCCAATTTTCAGCAGTCAGCATGAAACCAAAAAAGAACAAGTCCAGCATATAGTGGCATATACCTACCATCCCAGCCACTGAGACTGAAGCAAGAAGATTGTCAATTTGAGGCTAGCCTAGGCAACTTAGGGAGATCCTATCACAACATCAAAGTAAAAGGGGTTGAAGATGTAGCTCAGCTACAAAATAGCCCAGGGTTCAATTCAAATTCCTGTAAGAACAACAACGACAAAACCCCCAAAATTGAAGAAATGGAGGACAGGATGAAGAAGGAAAGCTAGGTGGGGCCAATCACTTCTTTGCCCAACAAGGTCACCATCCCAACCCCCTTTTTGCATCCTTTCTGTTGGTGTGCAATTATCTCTGAATTTGATCATCAGTTCAGATTAATCCTTGTGTAAGGTTCCACCCAGATAGTCTTCTCTTTAGAATATTAACACCAGGTCACAAAAGATGATGTGGCAGCACACTGGGAAAAAACATTTAAGATATAAAATGATAAGCCCTGTGCAGTGGTGCTCATATGTATTCCCAGCCACTTGGGAAGCTGAGGCACAAGGATTGTAAATCCAAGGCCAGCCTGGGAAACTTAGTGAGACTGTCTCGAAATAAGACAAACAGGGCTGGGGGTGTAGTTCAGTGGTAGGGCACTTGCCTAGCATGCAGTAAGCCCTGGGTGCAATCCACAGTACCACATACACACAAAAGCCACAGACAGAGGCAAAATATTTATAATAGAAATGATAATCTGGCCTAACAACCCAATATAAAAAAGAGGAAAAGATACAAACACAAAAATGAAGAATAAATAGCCAGTGTACCCATGAGCAGATACTCAGTCTCATTCAAACTGAACAAAGGCAGGTTGTTGGGGATATAAACCAAATTTGTTTTGTGGTACTGAGGACTGAATCCAGGGCCTTGTGCATGCTGGATCAGCATTGTACCCCTGAGCTACAACCCCAGCTCCAGGAGAACCAGGTTTGAATTTATTCTGCCTCTGCCCCATGGGATGTGTCCAGGGTTGCTCCTGTCAGACTGCCACAGCCCCCTGCCTCTCAAGGTGACATGAGGAGCACAGCAAGGGGTTCACTCTAACCTTTTCTCTCTTTTTCTTCCTGATAGCCCTTGATGAAGTCTTAAAGGATGTTCAAGAGTCGGGAGAGAAAGTGGAGAAGGAAGTCACTGAGAGTGTGACCAACATTGTCACAGATGCTGTCACCACACAGTAGAGGGGCTGGGCACACCAGGACAGTGAGCCTGTTGGCTATCCTCTCTGAATCTCAATAAAAATCCATGCAATGTGAACCTGAGTTCTTGATTTGTTGCTCTTTGAATGGGAACACTAGGCAAAGTTTATCTTTGGGTGCTGGATTCTGAACCCAGGGCCTCACACTTGCTGAGCATGCACCCTAGCACTGCAGGGCACCTTCAGTCTCTGACAAGGTATTTTTAGGCTTTCTTGTAAGTCCACTGGAGAACACACCAGCATGGCAAGCACCTGCTAGATGTCAGATCGTTTTCTAGGATGAGTCAGATAAAGCATCAGATGCTTCTGTGGTTTCTCCTGTCAGTAGGCAGCTTCCCTGGCCCTCAACCTGGTACTGAGGATTGAACCCAGTGAAGCTTTGCCACTGAGCTACATCCCCAATCCTTTACATCTTTTATTTTGAGTAAAGTTCTCAATTGCCAGGCTTGACTTGGATTTGTGACCATCCTCTTTCAGGAGCCTCTAGAGTAGCTGGGATGACAGGTATGTGTCACCTCTGTGCCTGAGCAGTAAGCTGTTTCATTGTTATCTGCTGCTCTCTCCTTCCTTTCTTCTTACTGCATCCACCTCACTCATGCTAAACCTGTGTTCTA